TAACTATCAAAATAAATTTTCCCAGCCCAAATACGACCCCCCCTCTCCTGGCGGCCAAATACGACCCCCCTATGGGGATTCCCCAACAACGATGTGCCCTGGCTTATAATAAACATGATCTAGTTGAAGAAACTATGTAGCACGACTCCAACCGAACAGCCTAGGGCAGTCTCATTCAGAACATTCAGTTTCAGTCAGTTGGTATTGTGCCTCAAGAAGTTCTGGTGGATCCTTCCGGCTTAACGAAAGCCTGGTCTTAGAAGACTAGGTGTGTTTCGACCTGTCGGAAATGAACACTGCCAGGTTAAACGGCCAAGCATTCTTGCAACTTGAAAGATGCAATCGGAATTTAATGTTCGCACAAATGCTATGTGGCGCGGTTTGACTTGGAGGAGCATTTTCACACTTTTGCTAAATTCTTCTGTTGGTTGTTGGCCAACAGTAGAACATTCGTTGAGTGAACTGTGAACGCTTGCGAAGTCTTTTCAAATGAGCGACAGGCCTTCACAAGTGGATTGCACCAGTTGAGAAGCATTTTGTGCCCCACCAAACCGAACCGCGCTTCCCACGTAGTACGGATGGGGCTAAACTGAACAAAGATTGAGTTCGCTTGTTATCGATTGATCTGAGTGTGAGTGTTAGCCATGCAGTCTACTTCTACCAAAAATCGCAAAGAAATTCGAGCTTGAGGCGGCACCTCAACAAAATAGGCTGGATCGTGCAAATGATGTGTTCCTAGTCACGGTTTCATAAACTGCAGTCTTCATTGAGCTGGGCACGTCGTACCCTTACACTTTCATAACAAGAATTGACTAGGCGTCACAAGGTGGCCCGCAGAGATTTCGCTGAGCACCATTTGGTGCATCCACCGAGCGGAATGGTGCCCGTAATGGTTATCAGTGATTGCTCACATTCCAACGAACCATTGAACACATAAGTTTCACACAAATCGACCTATGAACAGAGGATTTTTATCCTTGGTAAGTACTAACAAAAATCAGCTGGTCAGCTCGGGAATTGTAGGGGTATTTTTATGAAGCCTGACGTTGCAGTAATTTTGAAAAGCGTAGCAGCCGCCGCGGTGTCGTTCCTTCGTCACCTACTTGTAATTCTATACTGAACAAAAAGCAAGAGCACTGAAGATTCCTCCTCACATGAAGAAAACGAACCTACCTCTGATGTTGGCTCTATGAGCAGCATCAGAAACTTTGAGTGGAGGTTTGCCGGCGTTTCCGGTCAAATCGACCCTGTTAGAGAACATATTCGTCACTCTATCAACGCTTTTCTGAATTTGAAGTCCGTCTCGATTTTCATCTTGGGCATTGTGATTTGAAAAAGGGTTTCATGCGATATTTGTGTCATACGGTTCCCTCCACCTAAATCTGAAGCTCTCATTCTAAATCCACAAAAAAAGAATAGCAAAAAAGCTTCATGCAGCACCCGGCCCCAGGTTCCCAGTTTTGAAGGCAACTGTTGAATATTCTCGCCGGTGAGCTTCCATCAAACTCCATCAAGAAAACGTACATCAAAAATTGATTCATTCCGCTTTTTTAGCTTGGTTATACTACGAGGACGAGGCAGAGCTAGAATAGGAGCAAATGGCGCATCTGCCATCCAAAATTCAGTTATTTTATATCGCACTCGCTAGAGACAATAAGAACTCTGCCTAGCACATGGACTGTGCTCGTGACCATATGCATGAGCTCCATGAGTAAAAAATGAAGCGTTATCAACCCTGAAGACAGGAATCGCATCGCTCAAACCATTCATAGTGATCCATTCAGAACTGCTGCTCAGCGCCGTATAATGTGCACTTTCAGTATCTAATTGTAATTGAGAGAACACAAATGGAACAGGCACTAGCGAAACGCCTGAAGTATGTTGTCTTTGAGAACGGGTGGTAGCTTCGGTCGCCCCTTGACGCGGGCCACAGAAAGGAGCCGTCTGTCGTATGCGACAATGCGCAACAAGTGCTCGCGTCGCGCCTGTTCCGTGCGACGCTTCAGGAGAGCGGACGATTATGACCCAGCGTGGCAAACTTGTCTTTCATTCCTTCCGGCGCTGTAGAATGTTCCGTTCGTGTCGGAGCTCTTCCAGAGTGGGATAGGCATTTGGCCGTAAAATATTGTAGATGCGTTGACAATGAGTGAGAATGCACCCCTGAGCAAAGCGGGGCATTCTGGCTTAGTGGGAGCATTTTTCTGGCTCCTACCGATCACTCTCGATGCCTGCTATAGAGAACTGTAAGTTCAAAATAGCGGAGGCTGGCTTACCCTTTGGATGAGTTCACAGGCATTATCAATGAAGTAGCGAAAGGAGTTAGGAAAAGTGGAAAATGCTTGACGCCATTTCTTGCGTTCACAACCTGACTAGAGAGATTATAGTAATGCTTCTCGATGTTATTAGCTAACGCCCCTGATTACCAAATATTAGATCGCAGTACACTGAGATGGTCGTGGAGGCTTTTGAACCGAATTCTTAGAGATCACGGAGATGAACTGAGATTTTGTGGTGCTTTTTGCTCCCGCCTGCACCATTGCCAAGGCAAAAATCGCAGAGATTAGCTCTACTACTAGACAATGCCTGCTGGCGTAATTCGGAGCATGTTAAGCATCTGTTTCGGCCACTGAAGACCTCCTGAACAAAAAGATTTTTATGGCAAAAGCTCACTCGAATTTTAAAAGAATTGCTTAGTTCAGGAAGTTTCAAGAGTCACTTCAGTCCTGCTCTAGTACAATTAAGTAGCGGAACGATTACGAGGCTCCTCTTGCATTTTGAAGACCCGAACACATCCTGGCCAACGGACCCTTAGATGACAGGGCTTCCGCTGCACTTTTATGGGAGGATGAAGTCGAACTTATGGGACATCAGCGGTACCCACAGGTATGTACACTCATGAAATCTGAATGACCCTTGTGGATGTTTCTGAGTAAGTGCTTCACTCAAGAAAATTGTTGAGGCTTTCAGTCCTGAGCGAGGCACTATGAACGGAAATACTGTGGCTTAGAACTTTGTAAAGATTTTCGAGCCTTTCCAAGCTGTTAGGAACGGATTTTTGAATGCTATTACACCCTCAAAAGATATCGTACGAGTCCACTTCGATCTTGAACGATTCAACTCGGGCGATCTTCCAAGATTAGTTGACAAGTACCTGTTGGGTGTACAACTGAAAAAAGCTCGATTGGCACTCTGACCAGACTGAAGATTCCTCGACAGTGATAGTTAAAGTTTTTGAACAACGGGAAAACGTCGGGAAGCCGCTGTAGAAAGTCTTTGAACAATGGGAAAATGTCGGGAAGCCGCTGTAGTGGCTCTGCTGCTCAGCTTCCAGCGCGGTGTGAGGGGCAGCAACATGGCTAAGTGTTTTTATTCACTGCCATTCAATGTAACAACCTTGTACAATACCAATGGCTTGAAATGGCTGTAACAATAACAGTGGCTCAGAATAAACGTGAGGCATTAACATAAAACTTTGCTGCATACACCACCGACCATCCTACAGTCAAATGGTAAAAAAATAGTGAAATGGTCCTATTATAGCTTGCCTGGAATCATAGGCAATTGGCACGGTAAAGCGAGGAGGCGTAGCACAAGAATCATTGTTCCCCTTAGCAAGCGCTGTTTGCCCCTTTCTCAATCAAGGGAACCATTACAGCGGCTAATGTAAGCAACATGCCACATGTCCACCGGAACGTCCAACCACCCGCCCCCAATTGGCCGTACAGTGACATCAACTCTGGTGCTGTATTATCGCTTCATTTGTGGAGTACAATCGATGTGAAGCATTGGATATATGAATACATAAGTGCAGCCACATCTGTGAGGTTGTTGGCACATGCTAATGGGACCAGAAATGCTCTCCAGTGCAGAGCAGAACAAAGACTTTTTCCGCAGGTTTTCGGTCTTTTAACTTTGCTCGTTTGTCATTTGTCCACTATACAGGGGGGGGCAAAAAAAAGTCACTTTCCTTCATTGACTTTCGAGGCGCTATAAGTTACACTTTATTAATTCTGATCGGACATTTTTACCACCATATTGAAAGAGCATATTAAATACTATCATGACACTCCGCCACAGCCTTCTGGACGAGCGCCATCGAGAGATTCTGGCACGCGACCGCGATGCCAGAATCTCTCGATGCGGTGCCTGAGATCAGCGAGATAGTCGATTTCTCCGCCACCGTAGACCACCCTATTGAACTCCGCCCGAACCGGGTAATTGAGGGGATTCAGGTCAGGTGACCTACTTGGATATTCCACCTTCTTTAGGTATTCAGCCCCCTTCCATTCCAAGTAGGCGAGAGTTTCTCCAATGCCCTTCGATTCCATGTGGTGGCACCCAATGCTGTAGCAGTACAAAGTTTCCAAGAAGGTACGGGCGACGACATGTGAGGAGGATATTCTTCACGAGTTGCTCGATGTAACGCCAGCGCTCACCTTCAGTCCGGGGTCCACGAAGAAAATATCGGTCTTTCCATTCCAGGTACGTCCGGTCCATACCATCAACCCGCGCCTTGGCGACTGTGGTGAAGATGATGTCCTAGACCGTAGCGACGTTGTCGGAGCTGCTCGATGTTGGGGTCTTCAGATCAAGAGTACTGGTCTCCAGGTAGCTATCCATGGGTGACTCCACACTAGAAGTTTCGCAGCTGTTTGGAGGTGACATGAATTCCAAAGGTCTTCTCCAGTCAGGCTGCGACTGGAGATGACTTCATATTTTGGTGTACATGAAGGTGATGGGCGAGAGCCAGCTCCTGCTTATAGAGGAACATCTTGGGTATCTTCCGCCCTGGTACTCGTATCCACGTCCTCTGTCTGGGCTGCTTTGCTGTGACTCGGTCGAAGTGACTTTTTTTTGGCCCCCCCTCTGTATAGTACCCCTGCCACAACTCTGGAGCAAGTAGCACACCGTGCCTTAGACCTTTATGAAAAAAACCTACGTTCTGACGTCTACTGCAGGGCGACCTCAACATTGCTTCAGAAGGACCTGAATAGTAGGAAAGGGAATCAAAGGCATATGTAGAACAGTTTTGACGTCTGTGTCTTGATGGCAGCGGAGACGTTCAAATGTGAGCGGTGTGAGGTGGTTCACAGAGGGATTTCTTCGTGAAAGCTCTGAACGAATGGTATGAAGTTCATCGTGTCCCTCGAGCTGAGAGAGTTCATTGGGCAACTCTTGCACGTTGCAGGGACGAATGGAGACGTTACTGGCGCCCGCTCGAGGAACTCGATGATCAACGGGAGCACAGGTGATACAGGTGATTGATACTCTTTATTTTTGGCTCTTTTGACTTCTTCTCTCGATCCTCTCCTCGGCGCGGATCGGCGATGGGTTGAGGGGGGCACCTTGTGCTTTCATTCCGCTTATCCGCTATATCCGCTTTACAAGCCTCACTCCGGTGAAACCTGTGAACCCTTGTGAAGCTGGAGCAAGTTCGTTGACCGCCGCGGTACAACCTGTCAACTCGAGAAGAGGCTGTTTAGATGAGTCAACACGTCGACGGGGAAGTAGCAAAAGTGCTAAAATGCCCCTCTCCTATGCCGAACTGCGCCTCTACTGCCTTCCGATTCCATGCAGCGATGCACACATTATGCTATGGCCATTACATAGTTGGGACGGTGTCACGAGACTGAAATGAGCCAGCCCGCGGCGTTTCGCGCAAAAAAGCCTGACCATCGCGTAGGCGGTCTTCCAGGCGTTCGCTTGACATCCCGTGGAATCCAGTCGGTGATGCTCTGGTCCAGCGGTCGTCCTCGAAACGCATGACGTGTCCGGCCCACCTGATCTTCGAAACCTTGGCAAATGCGGCGGCGTCTCTGATCTTCGATCGTTGGCGGAGTGCGGAGCTCCGGATTCCCTCTCTCACTTGCGTGTAGCGGGAAACTCCGAGCATCGCCCTTTCGATGGCGCGTTGAATAACACCGACCGCATGCTCATCCTGCTTTCGTAGAGTCCAAGTCTCTGAGGCGTACGTCAAGGCAGGAAGGACCGCGGAATCGAAGAGGTGGGCACGGAGCTTGGTGTTCTTCGTCTTCTTCGCTACTCCCTCGATGTTCTTGAAGGCTCCCCAAGCCGCTCGCTTCCTCCTGCTCAGCTCTGGAGCTAAGTCATTCATCATATTGATTTCACGACCTAGGTACACATAGCTAGAGCATTCAGAGATGGTCGTTCCGTTGAGCGTGAATGGGGCATCAGATACCAATCCGTTTCTCATGAACATCGTCTTCGTTAGATTCAGCCGTAGACCGATTTTTCCACACGCGCAGTCGAAATCAGCCAGCATTCGTTCCGCTTGCTCGATGTTTGGTGTTATCAAAACGATGTCGTCAGCAAAGCGGAGATGGTGTAGTTGCCGACCGTCGATCTTCACTCCCATGTCTTCCCATTCCAGTTGACGCATGACGTTCTCGAGAGAGGCGCTGAAGAGCTTGGGCGAGATGGTGTCGCCCTGTCGGACCCCTCTCTTCACATCGATGATGATCTCCTTGTAGAATGGTGAAATCTTGGTCGTGAAGTTGCTGTAGAGCTCACGAAGAATCCTGATGTACTGAGTAGGAATACTAAAAAATAAAATAAAGAGTAAAACAGAAAAAACCAGAAGAACCGTCAGCCTTCGTGCCATGCAGCTGATTTTGTTGACCATCTTATGCTCCTTCAGTGACAGTGGAATTGGAAGAGCACTAAAAAGTCAGTCAGCAAGCACCGATGCTGCGATCTAGAATCCCATAGCCTATGAAAGGCAGTTACCAAACGTGTCTTCGCATCTGCCATCAGAAAAAAGCGCATATCGGACCTCAACTGGCACCTGGAAGTCACAGGGTGGAAAAATAAGCTTCTGAACAGTTGTGTGGTGCGATAACCACCTCATGGTGCCATACTCCTGTATCATTGAGGTCCTAATGATTCACAAGTACGAGTCGTGGCCATCTCTAACAAGGGAACCCCAACAGGTCGATCCGGCCATTTGCAGTGAGATGTATAAATATGGACGTGTCTTGAGCCGCTGAATCCAAATCTGCCCTCCGATTTTGCGGAACGATTCTCTGAAGGGAGTTACGGACCATTTAATCTTTGCTCCGTTTGCACAAGTTGAGAAGGATAACTGCATGCGGCAAGCCGCCGATGGCCTAGTGGATAAGTGCATTGCTTCAGAGACACGAGGTCGAATGTTGGAATCCTTGGCTATCGAAATCTTTTGCTTTTCATTCAAAACACTTGGTATGAGCCCTCCGAAATTTCTATTTGGCCATTTCACCTAATTTCTTGATTATTTGCCAACGGAAAGGCGGGCGATTCCCCATGTGTGGTTCCTCTTGAAAACTTTTTTATTATGAGTATAACCGCATGTCACAAGGGTTTTTGCAATGAAATACCATCATATTCATGTTCAGCGGGTCAAACTACCCCTGGGGACAAGTTTCTAGCCGAATCTGATATTTCGACCGAACTTGGAAAATGTGTGCTGTTTCATGGGTAATCAGAAGCAGAGGGGAGCTCACCTACCATCAATGAATGGTCTCGAGATGGAACTCCCTCG